GCAGGACAAACATCATCACTGCTCGTACTCATAGCGAAAGCTTTAGTATGCGTAATATGAATGATCAAAACCTGTTAGTGCAGTTCTGGATAGAAAGTTAGTTATTGCATGAAAATTAACAGAAGAACCTACTAAATTCTAATGAGGAAAGTTTGAGTACACTGTGGAAAGAACAGGTTTTTTTAATCTCAAAATCTTAATGAGATGAACAAACGTTATCCAATTAAGAAAAATAAGATGAACTTTTTGTCATTTCTGTATGCATTGTTACTTTAATTCTTAAAACCTAAATATCAACCTTTTTTATTTTGCTGCCTTTTTGTTTTCTTTTGTTGGCAGGAGGTACATACCTGCCTTTGAAAAGCTTGTAGAACTTTGCAATTTATGAAATTATTTTCAGTAACACTGCAAAAACTGTAATATCAAAAAAATGTTCCTATGTAATGTAAAATTTAGAATAGTAAATTCTGTACTGTGTTTGCAGGTGTAAAAAGCTACTCTGCTTTTTCACTGTGGGACTAGTTGTGAAATATTACCCTTTATACGTACTCGTGGCACATTGTGTAGCTAAATTTAGTGGATATTGAGGGTAATATCTTGTTGCTAAATCTATGCAAAGTTATTTTTGGTTTACTAAATAACCAGTCATATGTAGCTTGGGTAGTTAAGATTGGGACTGAATGCAGGTTTTGATTTTATTCATCTTGCAACCATTGTACAGCTATTAAGCTGGTCAGCTTAATAACATACATTTAAGAAGCATGATTTATTGGAATAATACTGTTTTGTAATAATGACATGATTCCCATAAGATTTAGCTTTGTAAAATAAGTGTCATGAATTTTGACTCATGGCTGGTAACTTTTTTTTTTTTTTTAAACAACTTGATTAGCATAAATCGTTTGTAAAAGAGAAATGAACCAGTAAACACTTGGTGCTGGTTTTGCTTAGCTCTGCTGAGTGATCCCTAATGAGACTAAATACTTTTGCGTCTTTCATTAACTGATGCTAGGTTTGTTCTTTCATTTATTGAAATATATTAACGTCCTGCAACGTGACTGAGTTTCCTTGATGTCGACTTCATTTTTATTGGTCTACAAGTTGTATTTCACTCCCCCCCTCCTTCCCTAGTTTTCTCTTTCCAAGGCATTCTCTTGCATTTTACCAGTTTTTCCTTTTTGTTTTCTTCTAGATACAGTACTTGGAATGCTGATTTTACTGCTGGCGACCAGATGATTAAACCTACCAGCTATACAACAGTAAAAATGTAGCGAGGGAACTGTTCTAAGACAATGCCCTGATAGGAGCAGAACATTACCCCTTAGACGCCTAGAAAAAGATGCCCTTTGGCTGATGCCCTTGAGTTCCATAAAGTAGCTTGAGTTTTACATCACCTTCTTGCCTGTCTCTAATTAACCTGAACTTTCTTTCTTTAGGGAGAAAGAGCACCACCTTTTTTTGTCCTTCATTTCAGTATTCCAGTTTCAGTGCTTGGGCATAAGCTCTTGTTTTTAACTGTTGCAGAGTGGAATCTTCTTTCCTCTTACATTTCTAGTATTTTTCCTTCCTTCAGTCTATTAAATACTTTTTACATCATGCTTTACTACTAGTCAGAACTCATTTTAAGTAACATTCTTACTCACGCATTTCCTGTATTAACATTAAATCAACTTTTCCTCTACTTGTCTGTTCTTTCTGCTTATTCTGACACTTGATGCGTCTTTTTAAGAAGCCTGAAATCAGAAGACTTGGGAAGACCAAGAAACTAATAAGACTATATTTAGTTAACTTCATGAAAGTAGTGGCCTGAAAACCCCTGAGGGGGAAAGCATCATTGGAACTGAGGAAAACCGTCTCTTGTTTCATTTTTATTTTTCACTGTCTTCATTTGATTTTGTTGTTGTTGTTGTTGTCGGCCTCCTTTAGAGGCATTAGGAGGTCACTCTTCTTGCTTGTCTGAAAAGTCCCGTGGAGTTCTTTGAAAATAATTTTCGGTAGACTGGCAATGGATCGTCTCCAGTTTTAAGCTGAGAAGTTGATTTTTCTCTAAAGGTCAATGAAAAGAATTAGGAACTTAAGGAATGGCTATGAAAGTGTTTCACATTTCTGAAATATATGGATCAAAGAAGTGCAACAAGAGTTGTACTGTTTGTACGTTCTGATGGGAGGATAAGATGCGGTTGCAGTAGTAACCTAGCAGGTTAGAGAGTGTTTGCCTCGCTCTACAACTCTGAGATACTTAGATTTTGGGAAGCTCTATGCAGTGCTGCCCTTGAAGAAGCGGGACTTGGAAATGAATAGAGTGAAGGAGCAAGTTGAGAGCGTGGCACTTTTTTATTTTAATGTCCTTTTCCCAGTAGGCACCAGGAAAGAAGGAAAACCTGTGCTTCTTGAACTTTTAATCAGAATGCAATGCTAAAGATTCCTTTGTCAGCAACCTCAGTATTTTCAAGAGAAAAGATTTGCAAATAGAAAATGTTGACTGGATTTCTCTATATGTCAATACTGTTCCTGGCTAATGGAATATGCAGTAGGACTGGGTGGTGGCACACCAAGCTCTGTCCTCTGTTAGTGCTCAATAGTGGCATTTTGGTAGAAGAACGTATTGTCTATTAACAAAAGTGAAGTTGTTTTTTTCTTGTGATATTTATTCTCCATGCATGTTTTATTAACTTTAGGCCATTCGTAACCACCTCTGTTTCGCCGTTGTTTCTGTTTGGACGTTAGAAGTTATTTCCAATTTGATTTTGTTGCCTAGAATATAAACTGGAGAAAATTTGATAAACTAATTTACACTTTTATAGGAGATTTTTGTGCCTCTGGATTGTGAGAGGAGGAGGAGCTGAATTTTGCCTCGTTCCAGTTTTCTGTGCACTTCACAGCGTGGAATTAATGGGATCTAATGATTTTAGTGGAGAAAGTAGTATGACAAAACCAGTTCATGCCTTGCTACCTCACTACAATTTTGTGAAATAATTCACTTTGTTGAAACGGAAAGAGTAAGACTGAATAATAATAACTGCTGAAGATAAAGAAACTTGCCATTTTTCCTACAAGTGTGACCTTAAATTTTATGGTACCTAAACTACGGTCTTTTGAATCTATGTTAAATCCTTGCCCCACCCACAAAGTTGGATGCTTAAGATTTATTCCATTTTCAGCTCAATTCTGATTAGTTCTTCTGAGGGTATGCAATATTTGCTAAGAGTAAAATGTACATTTCTTAAGATTGGCATATTTATTCCAGTGGAGATGTAGTTACAAAGAAGTGACTGCTAAATGTAAGTACTGTGAATCAGATTTAATGGCAGCGAAGTCATAGAAGCTGCTCTTTACATTAATAAGTGGCTTAGATTCTGTGGGAATGTGCTGTGGACTTGTTTTGATTAGATGCTTGGACTTATCTGAAATCAATGGAACAGTTTAGTGAAATATTTCATGTGTTAAAGGTAATGAATGTCCTTCTAAAACTAGTTAATTTCCTGCCCATCCCTAAGCAAACAAAAATCCGTATAGTTTTTTTCCTTAAAAGAACACAGGTTTTAAAGCAGCTAAGCACAGACTTCTGATATCAATTTCAGGAAGTCTTAGTCTGGGAGTTTCAGGTTATGTCTTCTGTAATCACCTGACTGTGGTGAAGCTGATGATGCATCAGTAATGTGCAGATGTCTTTTAAACTAGATGTTATCCTACTAACAGTTTAAGATATTGATCTTTTTCATACTCAGAGATTTCTCAGTGCAAGGTGTTAGTATAACATTTTGAATGATTATATAAGTGTTGTTATATGCAAAAAAAAAAAAATAGTAAAAGCCTTTGAATTTATCAGTTTGCATTTATCATTCAAGGTATCCATCTCGTATTGAGAAGATAGACTATGAAGAGGGGAAGATGTTGGTCCATTTTGAACGCTGGAGTCATCGCTATGATGAGTGGATTTATTGGGACAGCAATAGGTTGCGACCCTTAGAGCGACCAGCGTTGAGGAAAGAAGGGCTGAAAGATGATGAAGAATTTGTTGTAAGTGACGCGTTTATTTTGACTTTGACTCTTTTTTTGGTAAGCTGCTACACTTGTTTTCCTACATGAAATCTCTAGTGCATAATGCTTGAGTTTTTTTAGAAAAAAATCTAAATGTTTAAAATATTAATGAATAAAATTGTTCAAAATAGGATTTTAAACCTGGGGAAGAAGTCCTAGCTCGTTGGACAGACTGTCGATATTACCCTGCAAAGATTGAAGCAATTAATAAAGAGGGTAAGTGTTCATGTATGATCCGTCTGTAAGGACTGTTTGCATATGCTATGCTATAGCTGTAGTCCACTTTAAAAGTGGCATGCATGCAAAACTTTCTTCACAGCTTCAATATACTGCTGAAAATGTTTGTTCTACCAAATTTCTGTATGAAATTTAAAAAAAATGGAATGTCTCCTAGAAGATAATGCTGAGTGTTTCCTTAGCAATGAGAAAAATATCATTTGCATAGTGTTACAAATATTTTGTACTACTGTTGTTTTGGGTTAACTTTGCCATACTAAAAACACTATTTTCTAAAACAGTTAAAATTTTAAGTTCTGTTGATTGTAAGACAATAATGGAAATACAGAACTAAAGAAAAACTTAATTTAGATGCAACGCTTCACAATGAAGTGGTGGTTTTTAATGAACACAGAATGAATTTGAAATTTTTACAGCAGTTTAAATCAAATGGGAATTTGGTTGTGAATTAAATTGTTTCCCAATAGTGGTAGCTAAAATGTTACATCAATCAATGTAGTAGGGGCAAAAGCCACATGGTATCTTAAACATGCGGAGTCGTGCAAGTGGACAAAAAGTGACAGTATAAAAGCAGTGTTTTTTATTTTTTTAAAAATTCTTAATCCTACGTGTAGTTAACATCAAATTGCTTTGTTCATATAGCCTGTGAAACATTTTAATAGAGCCTTCAGAGTGGTGAGGTATACTTATTTCTTAACTACTTATAATGATTACATCAATCCTCTTGCAGGAACTTTCACAGTACAGTTCTATGACGGTGTTATTCGATGTCTTAAGAGGATGCATATCAAATCTATGCCAGAGGATGCAAAAGGGCAGGTAAGAATATTAGATATCTATTAGATATCTAGATATTTTGTTAGTTCTTACATCTTTTTATTTGTTTATTTTTTGTTTAATATCTTGAGCCCTGGAAGCTAGTCTGTCATGTAGCATAACTAGTTGTAGATTACAGTCTTTTTATTCTGGGCCCTTCACTGTCTTGCTTCACCAGTTTTGTGGATGATGCTTATGATGCCGTGGAGCGTGCAGCTCTAGCAATGTTGCCTCTATCTGAACTGTCCAGATGCTGAGCACTGCTGACTAATCTGTTCCCAGAGTTTTGTCTTGTGGAGGTTACAAGCACAAGGGCATCCAGACACTTCCCCCCTGCCCCTTTTATGGCCTTTCAGGGAAAAGCTTTAGCTTGCCAGTGGTCTATGCTCGTGACTACCTCAGCGCCGCCCCCCCCCCCCCCCCCCCCTTTAGCATGTTACGGTGACAGATTTTTGCCCATGTGTTCTCATTAACATAAATGTTGTGAAGGTTTTACTCTCCCCTGTATCAGAACTTTTGGGGATTCAGACAGGTAAATAGTACTTTTACCTCTGCTAACATCCTTGTTGCTCGTAAAGAGGAGATGCTGAGTAGATGTGGAGGCAAGCTGTGAAACAGAGTATGATTTAGTCTCTAGCTGTATCCCTACTTCAAAAAAAAGGAAAATCCAACATCAAAACCAGTTATATCCTTTCTGTGAAACTTCTGTGGATTTTATTTTGCATGATAACTGTATTTTTTTTTAATTAATGAGAAATAACTCCACTGAAACTACTTGAGACTTAGGTACAAGAAATGTAAAAAGACTATTATTACTTACCCCACATTTTCTTTGGGGCAAACAGAATTCAGATATTTCATAATTACTGTTGCAACAATCCATATTTTGCTCATGTGGCAAGAGCAGATAGAGACAAGAAGTGTCTTGAAAACAGTTCTGTATCCTGGCCGTCTCCTCTATGTTGCAGGTGGCTGTATATTAGAATTGAACGTCTAAGCAGTGGAGCACTGTGCAGGCAGTATTTGCCTGTCTAACTACTCAAAAAAACTACTTAAACAACCTTTCCCTAAAGAGATTAAACTGAAGTCCATTTTCAGGCTACCACTGGCTTCTTGCTGCAACGTTAAAATAATTCTGTTGAATCATTTTATAATATTTCAACTAATATTTTCATTGTGACAGTAAGTTAAGAAGCTAGAGTATTTTATTTGACTTTGTAAAAAGAAAAACTTGGTTAATGTGGTTGCAACTGGACTAACATAGCCCTTCTGTGACAATGTGAAGTCCCTTCCTCTCAGTCCTGTGCTTTTTCTAGGTAGCCATATTGTGTCTAGTCATGAGTTATTACTCTTAGGCCACAGGCATTTTCGGCTTAAAATGTAAAAACAGATTCAGTGTTTTACAGATGCAGGTTAGCTGCCGTTTTAATGTCCAGATATGCTTGGTATCAGGCCAGCTCATTTTACAATTTCTAATTTTCTTCAGTAATTGAGAGTGGCATCAGGCTCATGCATCTCGGTGGCTGAATGTAGATAGCTTCAGTGAAGTCTTGAGAAAGAAAAAGTGGTCCAAACTTAACGCTTCTTGTGATGGATTTAAATTTTTCAGGGCTGTCTTGCAGCAAGAAGAGCACCAAATATGCTTCCTGCAACACTAATAGATATTATTCTTGGCATTTCATTGTGCAAAATTAGAGATGGACACAGAGGTCTGTAGCTTCAAAGACAAAGCTCCTTTTTTTCTGCAACATCTGCTACATCATTATGCTATGGCAAAAATGTTTGCCTTTCAAAATATTTTTGTGGTCTTTAATAATAATGTAATCCAAGATTTAATTTGAAAATCAGTTATCTGAAACTGAGTTTAGTCTAAGCCGAAGCCTCGAACTCAAATGAATGTTTTCACATAGAATAATAAGGCAAAAATCTGAATATATTTATTGGAAAAGATTTATAGCCCAAAAAAGGCAAGAATATAATTTGTTTTGAAAAACTGAAGTTGACAGATCTGACGTTTCATGTCTAGCTTAAATCTACAGCTTGTTTGTTTCTTTTTCTAAAGCAAAATAAATTTCAAGAGATATGTCCAAGTTTAAGAAACTTCTTTAAATTTTAGAATATTGACAAGCTTAGCAAATGCAAGATCTATTTTGGAAGTTGTGCTACATGTGCAGAATTTTCATTACTGTGAGAGATATAGACTATTTAATTCTTTGTTCATGAATATTAGTGGTAGAAAATACTTGTAAATAAACATGTAAAAATCAATTTTTATGCAAGTATTATTAATATTTCGGGTCCCAGACTTACTGAAAGAAAGTGTGACCGATTGCATCTGACCAGGAGAGCAAGAGTTATCCCCTCCGGAGTCAAATGCCTATATTAAGCACGTTTATCCTTTCAGTAAATTTAAGGATGCTGACAGCAATAGCAGTATGTTAGTTTCAAAAGGAAATATATTCTTTTGAGCTTACTGTGTCTTAAAGGAAGAGATTGTAGACACTAACGTTCAAACTCCCTTTTTTTGAGTTGCAGGAGTGTGCTTTTATAAGCCTTAGCTGTGAGGGTGGAAAGCCAAAAAAAAAAAAAAAAAAAAAAAAAAAAAAAGAGAAGTTTGTATAGTTCAATGCACGGATACTATGGGCTAGGCTTCTCTGCTGAGAAGCTCAAATTAATTGAAGTAACACAGAAATATGGCTAAAGCAGTGCAGGGAGAAAATGAAAAAAGATGGGGATATTGAGACTGCCCTTATGAGAGCACATATAAAGTATTCAGATAACTTAATTTTTCTGTTTCATGTTTTTTGTTTTATCTTCGATGTAATTAGGCGCGCGAGAGGGAGCAGATAGCGCCGGAGCTGAGATTAGTGACGGAAATCGAACCAAAAGAAGTGAGTTTTGAGGAGGGTTTTAAAGGAGAGGGAGGGGACTTGGCACCCAGGAAGAGGAAGCTGAGGAAAAAGCATGGATTTGCGATGGGGACAGAGGAAAAAAGAAGATATGACAGGAAACAATGTGAGCCAAGGTGTAGGTGGGGCAGACTGTTTATTCTCTGAAAGGTGAGAGTAAGGAGTCCAGTCTTGATTAGGAATGAGACAGTCAGTAGGCTGATGATTGGTGTATGTATGAGTGTGTGAGAGTTGGGAACTGATGTGTCAGGAGAGGAAAAAGCTGAAGCGGTAGTGCTATGGAGATGCAAAAAGGTGGTGGTTGTAGGTAGGTGAAGGGAGAATGATGTATGTGAATTCCGGAGTTGGCACAAGGGTTGGATTTAGGAATGATGCTGTTCTTGCCTTCCTACTGTTGCGGGTTTAAGATTATGCAACAGAACATTTTAAAATGAAAGGTGTGTTGTTTTTTTTTTTTTTGGCCTTTTTTTTTTTTTTTTTTGGCCAATTGATTGTGTAAGGGTGCTGGATAATTACTACTAACTTCTTAACTGTGCAATTTCCTTTGCTTTGGTTTAGTGACTCTAATCAGCATAATTTCCTCAGTAACCATAAGGTAAAAGTTTGTCTTCTAACTACAGTGTCCTATGACTTCTTGTCTACCAATTGTCTTTGCTTGCTTAAAAGATGAACCTTGGGAAGGGAAAAGAAAAAAGAAGGAAATTCAACTTTTTAAGAAGTTATGTATACATAAGTGAGAAACGTTCACTGTGGTGAGATACTGTGGGAAAGGGGGAGATCAGATTGGATGTGCGACTGGTGAAGAATTACAAAACCACAGCTGATAAAGAGCCAAAGTCAGAGCTCTAGGGAGAAGCAGGGAACAATTATTTTAGGATAATTTTAGGTTTACTTTATTCCTTTCTAATGTGCTCCTGTTTAGGTCTCGGGCTTTGAGTTTACTGAACACACCAGAAAAAATCCTGCTATTAAAAAATTTATAACTAATTTATGCAATATCTATGATACTCTGTGTCCCGCTATTGTGGTTGACAGAGTACGTATGTTACAACGACCCTGTCTGGAGAGAGATTTTTACATTCTGTGTGCTTTAGCTTCCTACTGTTGTAGCTTCCCCCATTACTTTATTAAAATTTTCTAAAAATTCTTTAAAAAAAAAGGCAGAACCACATCTTTAAGAGAGTCACCCATTTTTGAGGTAGGAATTACTGAATCCTTTAGAAGAAGGATGATCACCTTAAACATCTAGGATGCTAGGTACTTCTCACAGGTCAGGAGCTGTGCAGCCGAACAGTTGCTCGGCAGGAGTTAAAGGTTAGAAAGCAGAAATTCTGTGTTATTTCAGTGTTTACAGATATTTTGCTCAGCCAAAATAGAAATGGATCCAGAGAGTTTCTGTCCAGTTCTCTTCATTGAGTTTAATTTTTAAAAGATAATCTAGGAGAAAAAGCATAAATGCCACCATAAATAACATCTCTCTGCTCTGGCTTCTGAATGTTTAATCTTGTTACATTCTTCTATGTGTCCTGCCACCCTCTGTGAGCTCCATGTCTTAAGGAAAGTAACCAAACAATGAAATAAAAAACAAACAAAAACCCCATTGTGCTGCCCAAGAACAGTTATAGTTAAACCAGGGTACTTAGTTCAGTGTGCCCCTTGAAGCTTGAAATCCTCATTGGAAAGCTTCTGACTTCAGGGCACGTAGCTTGACTGAAAATGGAAAAGCTCTTAAGAAGCTATTTTGATGCTGGCTACGCTTCCTCTTCTCTGTACTCTTTATCATAAGAGCCAAGCTCCAGCCGTGTTACTGATCCTCTTCATCCCTTGGCCAGAGTACCATACCACACTTCTACCATCAGGTCTCTTATCTCCACGCCAGCACGAGTAGCTCCGTCCTTTTTTTCTTACTTGCTGGATGGGCAAAGCTCTGAATGGACCGGAGCTAATATATGTGCTCTTTTTGGCTGCCCAGGCAAAAGGTACGTGTGGTTTTGATTGACCCTCCAGTTAGCGGTTAGATGAGCTCTTCATGGCTGACACGTCACCAGAAGGCTTTGGGAGCTGCCTGTTGTGCAGCCATTCCCAAACTGTTTTCCTGCTAGCTAAACGGAGTGTATGCATCTTACTTACTTAGATGGTTTGGAGATGAAGCACTTCATCTTAGAGGAAGCAAAACTGCTGTTGTTTCAAAGTACATAGTTTGATGAAATATAGATGGGTACCTTGTGCAAAACAGTCAATGATATTTTGAGCTTTGTAAAAGGAAAAGCATAATACAGGAAAAAGTAACACTTCTGTAATTTGTATTATGCTCTCCTCCTACATCAAAGAAGGCAAACAAACCTCGGCAGAACAGAAACTTGAAAGATTTATAAAATGTACTGAGTAGATTTAAAAAAAAAAACAAACCTATGTTTTGTATGAAACAAGATTTATAAACATGAGAATATTTTAGATACCTCGTGATACCAATAAGGAAAAAATCCAAGGAAAAATATGATTTAATGTTGAAAGGAAGTTTTATTATTTTTAAAGCAGTCGTGCAAAAAACGAAAAATGGAGTTCTTGTCATAAGGATTTTTTTTTATTTGGCGCAACAAATCTAAAGCGCTCTTAGAGCCCAATCTCTGTACCTCCCTCAAGTAAATTAATTGTTCTTCAAAAACCCACTCAGATACTTGATACTTATTGGTGGAGTATAAACATTGTTGGTTTTTATTTCACATATAATTTCTCCACGGAGCTTGATGTTACAGAATATTTGAAAAAAGTATTTTATTAAAAGGGAATGATCCAGATTTCTTGTAATCAGATTGATCCTTGACACTCGGGAAACATCAGGACTGATTACTGCAGAGTAGTGGAAGGAGCTTGGCTTGGTATCTGGAGGTGTTTGTCCTCTCCATTGACTGCAGGGTGACTAGAGACTTCATTTACACTTCTAAAGTTAGATGAATTTGGCTCTAGGTTCTCCTCTTTACTCCCTGGATGTTTGTGTATGGTCAAATTAACCATTTTCCAAATGGTACTCTTAAGTACCTTAAATGTGGATTGTGGAATTCATTTGTATTACAGAAAGCTTTACTGCAATTACTGAATAAAACATGGAAAATATAATACAAAAAGAATGCTATCTGCAGTTACTGTAGAAACAAAAGTATAAAAGTTTTGTTAGTGCTTTATGGATCTAATTCAGGAAGAGCTCTGTCCATATATCACGCAGTTGACTGGACCATGCTTAGAGCTGATTATAGCTTTAAATAATAGTTAAATTTGAGCTACAGTAAAATTGATGCGTGTCCCACCTAGAAGGGTAATAAAGTCAGTGGTTGGTTTGGGAGCTCTTGAGTTTCTAAATCTGTAAGATGTAAAAGAAGTAGTAAGGAACTAGTGCAGCCAGAATTCTACATACAGTGTCGTTTTGAAGGTTTTTTTCTCTTCCTTTTTATCCACATGGCATACTGATGATGCTTCAAGTTTATATAGGCAATTTGGGAAATTCGTTTTGCCACTCCTTGCGTACTAGCCATAAGACTACGTTCAACTGCTTTGGAACGTTTCTAGATGAAATTGCATTGGGTTTATAAATGTGTTCTATTTGAGTTTCAAACTGTTTTTAATACCTGCCTTTTTTCCTTTTTGGAGGATTGGATAGCTTTGGTCAAAGCTGCTGCAGCAGCAGCAGCCAAGAACAAAGCAGGAAGCAAACCTAGAACCAGCGCAAACAGCAATAAAGATAAAGAGGAGAGAAAATGGCTAAAAATTCCTTCAAGAAAGGAAGAAACTTCAACGTCTACAATCATGCAGGAAGTCCAAAAAAAGGAAGAGGAACCTACATCTAGTGATACATTTGGTAAAAGCGGATTCTGTAAAAGATGGAATAGCACCATTAATTAATAAATTAAATACCATTAATCAAATAGGAAACTATTTTTTTCCAGTTAAATCTAGTTGGGCCAGCAGTTACTCCTTTTGACTTTTTGCAAAACTTCTGTCCACCTTCTGAGAACAAAGCGTAGGCTTTTGAATGACTGTTGTGTGCTCTGGTTCCAGTTCCTGGATCTTCTGTTAACTGTGAGATACATCTAGATATTCGTTTAAGATAACGTTTCCAATGTGGATGAAGTTTCCATATTCAAAGATAGCTGAAACTCTTATTTCTGGGTTGATAACAATTTGTTCGTTTTAATAATCTGTTACTGTATTTCTTGTAATACTTGATAAAAATTGCAAATTTAAGGTAGTTTGCATCCGGTGCTTCAATGTATAAAACTGTAAATCTATAGAATATGTCCATTTCATTTTCAATAACTATAAAAAATTTTAATCTGTATTGTAATAGCAGTTCTGAAATATTAAAATATTTTAATTTTGTTAAGTATTTATTAAATGTGAATTTATTAGAGTTCTCTTTTGTTTAAAAGTAGGTTTTCCTGTGGTGGATGTTCCAAAGATGGCCTTTGTGCGGGCAGAGAGCACGTTATCCCACAAGAGGAAAAGTAATCTGGGCAACTCATTTCAGGCAAAGAGAGCTCGTCTTAACAAGATCACTGGTAAACCTCCTTTTTTGTTGAGATTTGTTCCTTTGTTGAGATATTTGCTCCTTTTTGTGTATTGAAGTACACATGCTTACATATAAGGTGCTCAAGTAGATCAGTAAAAGCGCATTCATCAGGCAAATATTAATTGCAATCCTCTTGTTTGGAATTCTAAAGCAGTACAGAAGTGGTAATAAAATCAAACTTGTTTATAAATTAAAGGAAGGGTCTCTGACTTGACTCATATTTTTAATTTTCTAGGAAGATAGCCGTTCTGAACTCATCAATTTCTTGAATGTGCGTGTGTGTGTGTATATATATATATATATATAGAAGTTTCCATATTCAAAGATAGCTGAAACTCTTATTTCTGGGTTGATAACAATTTGTTCGTTTTAATAATCTGTTACTGTATTTCTTGTAATACTTGATAAAAATTGCAAATTTAAGGTAGTTTGCATCCGGTGCTTCAATGTATAAAACTGTAAATCTATAGAATATGTCCATTTCATTTTCAATAACTATAAAAAAAATTAATCTGTATTGTAATAGCAGTTCTGAAATATTAAAATATTTTAATTTTGTTAAGTATTTATTAAATGTGAATTTATTAGAGTTCTCTTTTGTTTAAAAGTAGGTTTTCCTGTGGTGGATGTTCCAAAGATGGCCTTTGTGCGGGCAGAGAGCACGTTATCCCACAAGAGGAAAAGTAATCTGGGCAACTCATTTCAGGCAAAGAGAGCTCGTCTTAACAAGATCACTGGTAAACCTCCTTTTTTGTTGAGATTTGTTCCTTTGTTGAGATATTTGCTCCTTTTTGTGTATTGAAGTACACATGCTTACATATAAGGTGCTCAAGTAGATCAGTAAAAGCGCATTCATCAGGCAAATATTAATTGCAATCCTCTTGTTTGGAATTCTAAAGCAGTACAGAAGTGGTAATAAAATCAAACTTGTTTATAAATTAAAGGAAGGGTCTCTGACTTGACTCATATTTTTAATTTTCTAGGAAGATAGCCGTTCTGAACTCATCAATTTCTTGAATGTGCGTGTGTATATATATATATATATTTTTTTTTTTTTTAGCTCCAGCTTTTCCATTTCTCCATTATGTAGGGAATTTGATGTTTGCACAAGTTCTTAACAGGGTCATGAGTTACATATCACCACTATAAATTAATGCTGTCCCTGGTCTGGGAAAATCAAACATTCTATTCCGGTTTCTCATAAAGTGAAACAGTTGCTGAAAAGAGTTTGTAGTATGTCATTTTAAAGTGTAAAGTCTAGATATTAACTGAAATAAAGAAGAGCGAAAAGATTTTGACAGCGTCCAAAGCATCTGTTACTTATATTTATTGCTTAAGGGTATTAGAGGAAAAGATATATGCAGCTATAAAATGCATTTTTAAGTTAAAATCACAGAACAGTTGAGGTTGGAGGGGACCTCTGGAGATGATCTAGTCCATCCTCCCTGCTCAAGCAGTGTTAACCAGAGCATGTTGCACAGCACCCTGTCCAGAGGGCTTTTGAATATCTCCAAGGAAGGAGACTCCGCAACCTCTCTGGGCAACCTGCTCCAGTGCTCAGTCACTTCACAGGAAAGAAGTTTTTCCTTATGCTCAGACGGAACTTCCTGTGTTTCACTTTGTGCCCATTGCTTCTTGTCCTGTCGCTGGGCAGCAGTGAAGAGAGTCTGGCCCCCATCCTTTTGACCCTTCAGATATTTATACGTATTGATCAGATAGCCTCTCAGGCTTCTCTTCTCCAGGCTGAACAGGCCCAGCTCTCTCAGCCTTTCGTCAGATGAAAGATGCTCTAGTCCCTTAATCCCATAATCATTTTAGTAGTCCTTTACTGGACTTGCTCCAGTAGCTTTGTATGTGTTGAATGTGTTTTATTCCAAAATTGTCAAAGTAAATTCCTATTAAAATATGGAGAAATTGTTTCAATTTGTATCCCTGCTCCGCTACCACCTAATAAGCAAATCATATTAGCAGCATTGATCCATCAGTCTTTTGGATGAGGTAATATGTTTGTGCCTTTCTTGGGAAAGTATCGGGGCACACTTCAAAAGCTAGAGGAAAAGTTGTGAAGCTCCCCTTTAAAAGAGGTCCTTTGGACAGAAAGCAAGATAGCAGTGCTTTCATCTCGTAATTCCAATAAATGAATGTTAGTATGAAGTCTGACAAACTCCTTTGTGTTAAAGATGAGATTTTTTTGCTGGTTAGTAGATACAGTAGTGTTAGATCATTCATATAAAAAGTCAATTACTTCGATAAGGCAAAAATAACCTTAAATAACCTTATTTACGAAACTGCATGATGTGTTTTTGCAGACTTGTTTCTGCTGATACGACCTTTTGTAAGTCAGCAACTGAGAACATTTAGTCAGCTCTCTTGTGAGCATGGTTCTGTTTCATTCTTTTTCAATCAATGTTTCAAACTAAAGGAGTAAACAAATGAAATGGGTCACTGTGGAACACGGTATGGAGGTAGTGCTCTTTTGGGGTGGGGGGAATTTGTCAGTCTCCAGAATTTCCTTTCCTGGAAGGCTTCCTCTTTTATGCTGAGTTTGGTTAATGGATGACTGATCATTTCAGTCTTAATTTTTACTCTCCTTTACTTGTCCTGCTCACTCCCTTGATTAAATCCCAACCTAATTGCTGCCAAGCAGTAGGAGGAGTTGTGGCAGGAGATAGCAAAAACAGTTGAAAAGCTTATAGCTCCAGAAATTGTATGTTTTTTTGTTCACAGAAAGATTCTGCTGTGTCCTAAGCAGTATTGTGACAATAATCAGACTCATATAGACCAAAATGATTAATTAGACAAAGTAGAAAGATAACTCAATGGCTGCAGCGTTAAAAAGAGTTTCTGTTTTTATCTGCGTGAGAACTTACTCTTGAGGATGCGTTACCTTTCAATGAAAGTGAATTAATTCTTTAATTCCAAGACCAAATTTGTCATGCTTGGTAGTTATTCTATATATTGAACTGTTTTCAAGCCAGCATCCTACTTTTGCAGTTCCTACTGTAATTTCTGTCTATTACTACATAGAATGATGGAGTATTTTGAAAATGTAACTGCTGATGATCACACTTCTCTTGCTACGTGCTAATTTCTTACGCTTGAATGTTATATACTGCATTTTTTTGTATCCAGCATGAGTTTTACTTCTTAATTTGAAGGAAGGCTAGAGATTATGTTTATGATGGATGTGTCCATCAAAATGGCAACAAGAGAATAGTAAAGCATTGTAGCTGTTAGAAAACATTCAGTTACCAATCGTCTTACGGCTATATTGAGGAAGTAAAAGTGGAGCAAGTAATTTGGCTATAGGAGGCTGTTTGAAGGGAACTCTTCTTGAATTTCAGTGCAGCATTCAGTATTTGTTCATTGAATGTTCATTCGTTCTTCCTGCCTGCTGCAGGGACAACAGCTGCACCTGGTGTTCTTCACTCACGGGATAACAAAATTTTGCTCCATTTTTTTTTTTTTTGCTGCTGCTGCTACCACTGCGTGATGATACGTTTTCAGGAGAAAGTTGGCTCCTATTAAGAAGATATTACTGTTTCTCTCCAACTAGTTTTTGCCTCTATTGGAAGGCTCGCTTCCACATCTCTCACTACAGTGTTATCTAAAAGAACAATTAATATCTGCTTCAAGCTAACAGAACAAAATACTTGTTCTGTTTTGCTCTGCTGCCCCATGCTTTTTATTTCTTACAAGCTGTTACTGACCGGGGATGGTCCGCTTGTAGTCCTGGTGCTATATTAGCTTGTAGAGTTGTTTTATCGTCTCATAGGCATGGTGGTTGATTAGCCAGATACCTCATGGGGTAGGGAAGAAGGAAATAAGGAGGACTATTTATTTAGAGATCCACCAGAATTTAGGTCAATTCTGTGGTTGCGCTTTCAGCACCCTGAACTTCTAGCTAGGAAAAAAAAAAAAATCTCTTAATGTACATAAATGACTCAGTATGGCTTGAAATGTATTTAAGCATTCTCAGACAGGAAATTATCTTCAGATTTATGTTAGTACAGACGGTATTTTGGTTCATCTGAGAATATTTGCAAGAATCAAGCAATAAGTACTTTCCTAAAAATCTTGTTTACACTGGGGATTGTTATTAGTGCAGACATGAAAATGCAAAGAAAGCCTTTCTGAAAAGTAGCCCTACCTTATTCATACATGTCTTCAAATGTGTGCAATACAGTCCAAGGTGTAATGATCTTTTTTCATTTTTCTGCAAAGGTTGGATACAGGACTGCACTGAAGTGAAATCCTTTTTTGGAATCATTGTTGCTGAAATTCTGATAGTAGAATATGTTTGTAGAACTTGCCTTCTGGACTGTATCTCATTGTCTAAAATATAAAAATTATTTCACTTAATTTTGATAATCATTTCATGTTTTGTATCCTAAATACAGGATGGTCAAAACAAAGAACATATTTAAATCAAGTCAGAGAAATACTAATAAGGATTAGAGTTGTAAAGGATAATTTGCATGCAAGAGCATCTTTTATGAAATCGGTGCAGAATTAAAATCTTTTCAGATAATAATGTTTGTATTAATATACTAGGGCTAAGTAAGTTTCTGCTTTGCAGTTAGCTTACTGCTTTAATTGTAAAATCACAGTAGTTTTTACCTCTTGTTATGGAGAAGGTCTTCTGAAAAATTTTTTTAAAACATCTTCCCATTAAACTGAAGCATGACTTAATCTAACAGAAAAAGTAAATGAAAAAAATGACTAGTAATTCTTGTGGGACACTGAAAAATTTGACGTCTCTCTAACAAAATATCACACAGATTTCCCCCTCCCCTTTTGTCTTCCTTGTGGAAATGCCGGAAAAGTACCTCTCATGAGGAGCGTGAGCGCATCATGAGCGCACCATCATGGGAACGTCTTGAAACTTTTTTCTTCCAATTTACCATATTTAGCTTTGTGTGGAGCTGTTTCAGAGAGAATTATATTGGAGATGCAAACACTTCATATTTCTTGTCTCATCGTCTTGTTTTGTCTTCCGCAAATGCTCCTTACAGCTTTTTCTAAATGAAAATCTCTGCAATTTTTCTCCTAAGGTTTATTGGCATCCAAAGCTGTTGTTGCGGATGGTGCTGAAAAAAAGGAAGGCAACAAAGAAACAGCTCCAGTCCTGGAGCAGGTATGAAATGGTAGAGTTTGATTCTTTTGCAAGGTTCCCACTGGAGTGTGCCATGGACATGTAGTACCTACAACACTAAAATTTGCCTCTTCATATACAATAGGGAACTGAAACTCAATCTTATGTTTACATTTTCTCATAGCCAGATGTATGGAATTTAATTGTCTCAAACCACAGAGTTAACTTGAGTTTCAGTAATGAGCTTTCATATCAGAAAACAAACGAGCGAAAAACAAAGAAAAACAAAGCCACCATGCAGCAAAAGTTAGGAGACCAATTTCCCAAGGTCCAGTTTTATAGCTGGAATCGTGACCATGACTGGCTTAGACGACCCTTACACAAATTTAATTTGTGTTTGAAACAGGGTTTTTTGACATCAAGTAAAACTTCTTTTGTAAGAAGTTTATTTTATATTGTAAGAATTGGTGTGGTAGACTGTTTATGTTTTATGAACTGCTCAATGAGCCATACGTTTTGCTAGGGTGTATATTTTAATAAATACAAAAAAGAAACTTTTAAATTAATGTTAAGGGTCTGACTTTTAAATCTGCATATTTGCAGGACCTAAAGGCTACTACTTTGTCTTTAGCTTATTCCACTGTGTTCAGGCATTGCTTGACTCAGCTGTGCATTATTGTGAATATTAAAAGGGCTGAAAGCTTAAGCACAGTAAAGCAAGCTAAGGATGAAAAGTGATCTTGATGCTGGACATCTTTGTTTTGCATTGGTTTAAATCAGAGCCTTAATGTAGTTTTAATACAGCTTTTTTGTATTCGTTTTCATTCATTAATAGCAGTGTTTAAATAAAATAGCCTTGCTTCCCGTACCTCTTAAAAGAGCACTTCTCTTCGTAAGCCCCGGCACACTCTATAAGCAGTCCCCACCCCAGACTTTCTTTGACTTTTTTCTTTGTACTGCTTCTTTAGAGCTGATATATGATTGCATTGCTGTGTTTTTTCCATTGATACTGCCTTGGATACGAGTGCTGTCGATGGAACGTTTTTTTCTGTTTTAAATGCTGTCACGGTAACGGCTAAGTGAGCCACTGCGGTGTCAGTGCATTGACTGATATTTTGCATAAAGGTTTACAGTGTATTGACATGACGTTCCATTTCTCAAATTTTTGCATATTAAGGATGCTATGATTTATTGCTATTGTGTGTGATATTTTCAATGTGCAAAAAACTGTGAAATGGCTGAGAGCATGTTGTTTCTGGAGGAATCATTACAATGTAAATCTTACCTCGCAGAATCCCGTTGAGATGAATGGGACTTTGTGGTTTACGTAGACTGTGTATGCAACAGTATAAACTACAGTGCATATTTATTGAAAACTTTTTGTTACTACTTAGACTTAGCAGCTCAGCTGTTTCTGTTTTGTTGGTTAGAAATAAAAATGCAGATGTCTCTGTCATTGTTTACATGCTAATGGTCTGAAAAAACTCATTTTTTGGAAATAGTAGTTAAGATCTTTTAAAGAGGCATCTAAAATCCCAAACTGTCGTTTCGCTTCTCTTCGGTCTCAAAACAGAAACCCCACAAATATTTAAATGATCAACTGTATATGTGGCGGGGAAATTATGAGCTTAAAGCTTTTCTTCACTAAGTTCCTACCCAAATTCAAATTAAAATGGCCGAGTTGTAGAATCCCCCAGAAGGTTTTCCAATAGCAATGCTGACAGCCCTTAACTAGAGGTTTTGTCTGCTACTGCTATAAACTTAAATGGGTAAAATACCTTGTAGGTGTGTGTATGTGTTTTTTGTTTTGTTTTTTATGATGTAATACAGAACATGATAGAAGTATTCAGGCCAACGGCCAGAAACTTACTTTGCTGATGGAAGTATATCTTATTTATATTTATATCTATTTTTTAGTTTACAGTTGTCTTAAACCCCAAACCTCAGACAACTAGATGCAGATACAGTAGTATACTTAACTGTATTAGGGTATGTCATGCTATATTTCCTTTTGACCAAGATCTGCTTAGATGAATAACATTAATTCATTAAGTTTTTTAATGTTAATTTGTCCTGTTAAAAGGTTAAGCACCTTATCAAAATATTAATTTAATTTTTAATCTTGTTTAAATAACTTTGTAATTTGAAAGTAATGGATGCTGTAGTAATGTCTTTCACATCTGTGAAGATGAACAATAAAATTGTTTATTTACAAGTTATGGCTCTAATTAATTTCTGGTAATACCTCTTATAACCAGCATAGGTATACTCTACAGTTCATGGAATATTTTATTTAAATGAATAAACTGCACTTAATACATGTGTATAATGGAGTTATTCAAGATAGCACTGATGTCTGCTGAATGGGACATTTTGCACCGGATCTTTATATGGTACTCGCAACGAGCTATTCGTATAGCGTTCAAGGGTGCCCTTTTGCGTACATAGAATTTATATTTGTTTCCACTGAAACTTTCCGTGTTCCAGTGGAAAACAGTTGTTGTTTATTCCCCCCAAAAATGAATAGTACCCTCAAATCGTCAGAGGTCTGATATTTCTGTTTAGTTTGGATAAAGTGGTGCACATATTCTAGAAATGTATTTCTACTTTGATAATTATGGTTTTATTAGATGATGCTGTGCTATGTGATTATAGCTGGGACAGGAGAGGGGACAGATTTTAAGAAATTACATTCATGTATTGTATTTTGCCATTACTGGGCAAATGGTAACACTTGCACAGTTTATCCAGTAAAATAGGAAGAACTTCCTTCTAGCTAAAAATACTATGCTAATGTCTGTCAATGCATGTCAGTTGTCTAAAAATAATACTTCATTATGTGCGTTATGAAAAAGGATGAAAATTGGTGTTATTGGGAAGTTGCATTGTATGTTGATTTTTTTTTTTTTTTCCCTCCCCAAAATGCAATTTTGATTTTCTACTTCTGTGGCTTTTACCTTGTATTATTTATATGGCCTCACTCTTTCTCAACAGAACTAGATTTTGCATGTGGTGAAATCCAGACTCCCAGCACTGAAAGGGGTTATGTGAGAGCATGTTCAATATTTGGGAGTTTTTAAATTGTTTTCAGACTTTTCTTAAAGGAGCATTGTCAACTTTTTCAGTTGCTTCTCTAAAAGTGAAATTTATCTTAAAATTTTAGTTTTTAATTAGGTCTTTTTCTTGAAGCAACTTTTTTCTTTTAATGATCGTCTTAGATCAGCATATGTATTCTAACTTGTAACAACTCCATTCTCTAGGTTATTCTTTGTGACACCGTTGATGGTACTGCCACCCTGAATATAAAAGAGAGAGAAACTAAAAAGACTTTGATAGGTTTTCTGAATGGAGATATAAGCAAATATTTTGTTTTCAGGCTTTTTGTAGGTATTTCACAGAGTGAGAAAAGACGGTGTTCTGAGTACTGAAAATAATTGACAGTGCCCCTTTAAAACAGAAGTTGATTGTGCTACACTTGAATCTATTTTTCATTTGTATTGAAAATAATATTAACTGTTGCTTTAAAATGTTTTGAATACTAAAGTTACTTTAAAAGATCAAAGTAGAATACAAGAACTACAGTGAAGAAACCGAAATAAAAGTATCAATTTTTTATTATTTATTCAGGAGATTTCACCTAAACCACAAAGTCAGAAAAAAAATGAAGCTGATATTAGCAGTTCTGCCAGCATTCAGAAACCTGCACTGTTATCCTCAACTTTGTCTTCAGGAAAGGCTCGCAGCAAGAAATGCAAACAAGAATCTGGAGATTCTTCTGGGTGTATAAAGCCCCCTAAATCACCACTTTCCCCAGAGTTAATACAAGTCGAGGATTTGACGCTGGTCTCTCAGCTTCCTTCTTCTGTGATAAATAAAACTAGTGAGCACAGACATTTTAAAAAATTCCGTAATTACTTATAGTCATAAGATATACAGAAAAATATTTTTCGTTGTTAATCAATGTCGCTTTTAAAAATTTATCTGCTTTTAAAAATGAGTCTGCTGTTTAAAAAAAAAAAAAAAAAGCTAAAGTGGAGAATTAGGGATAGTTCAATATTTTAAAAAGTCAAGTCACATAATAAGGCGTATGAATTACTCTTCCAGACATAACACATTTATGTTTATAGAGTAAGTTATGACTTTAATGGTTGAGTTCCACTGTAGTTTAAATCTTCACGTTACTAGTAACAGTGATGCAGGAAAAACCAAACCTCCCCGCTGAAGGGGCCTGATTCATTAAAAAGAAAAGACATGCGTCTTGATTGTGGATCTTTCCCTTTCTGAGAAATTCTGCTTTCAGTGGACTGATATGCTGTATCTATTAACTGCAGCATTCCTTACCTTATGTGATATTTCTACCAAATATGACATGAAAGAAAAGACTAGTTCAAGGTCTGTGGTAGGAAATGGCAAGATCTGATATATGTAACTCATAAAAATACCATAGGCGTTCAGCCGTTTAACGTGCAGGACTGACTTGCAAAGTACCAAAAAGCTGGTTGGCAGAAGAAAAGGGGAAAAACATATGCTGCATCCTTGCATATACTATTTTTTTGGATGTTGAAGAGCATATAAGCCAATATAGGTAGAAATATTTTTATAATTTTTGTTGCGAATGAATTCAGATTTTAGTCTTTAGTCAGACCTTGTAAAACAGGCTGTTCATTGCCAGAAGTGTGTTAAGTGATGAGGCCAAGAGTTAAAATAAATGAGTTACTGTTAATCAGAAGCTAAGGTTTTTGTCTCACTTTCAGAGTAGTGATTAAAATAAGGACCGAAGAATTTACCTGCATGATACGTTCCCCCTTGGCCTTTAATTGATATCTTCTCTTAGGAGATAGCTGTTTCTTTTAATATTTTGTCGCAGGTAGCTTTAATGGGAGAGGGAGGTGAGCAATTCGGTCGTCTTTGTTTATTCAAGAAACATTGGTTTAGACTGTATCTCTAGGTGTTCCCACTAAATATTAGTTATCTATACTGTATCCGCATCCCCCCCCAGACTATGATAAGTAAGCGTCCTTGAGGATGTCTGCAGTTTTGACTGAAGTTAGACTTTTAGTTAGTAATATTTTAAAAACAGCATAATTTTAAAATGGGCAGCTTAATAGCTTAGATCTTGGTAGCATTGTCTTTTCAGCAGTGGCTTTCAATTCTTGACCAACTCTAGTGGAAACTGAATTAGTTTACTTTGTCTGTATTTTTGAATCTGCACGTCTTTGACTCTCAAAACGATCTATATGAGAAAAGTGATTTACTATGTAATAATACACGAGTTGATGTTTTTCTGAGGCAGAGTTCATGAAACTATGCAAAAGTGGAGAGGTTTAGGGATGTGTGTGTGGTTTTCTTTTTTAATGAATCAGGCCCATGATATCCTATATCAATCCCCCTTTTTTTTTAAATTTGAGGTTCTTGAGACTTCTTGCTATGCCATGCACTGACAGTGTACATTTGAAGTATAGTTGGGGTATTGATATCAGGGTAGCATAAAACGGGGAGATCAGGTATAAACTACTGATTTTGTGTGCTTATTTTTAAAGTTGTTTGTTAATAGTATTCATGACTTTTAGCTATTTAACTGTGTTCATTTATTTAACTATGATCTGATGTTGCAAAACCCTATTGCCCGATTCCATTATAAGTAGTCTACTCTCATGGGTGTTTTGGGTGTTTTTGCTTATTGTAAATACACTTTATCAACGGGAAAGTAGATGCCTTAAAAACATATAATAAGCAAAACCCAAAATCATGCCTCAAACAACTTTTTTCTGATAGTCGTGGTTTTTAATTACTTTTACCAATTCTATTATGATTACTAATTCTGCAGAAGAGAGCTATTTAAAGCATTCCCCATCTCTAGATGTCTAAAATACTACGGTAAGGTTATGGTATATATCTCTGCTTCATGAACATTGAAAGATCTCTTTTTAGGTCCATCACAGCCAGTGAATTCCCCTAGATCCTACAAACATAGCCAGCGGAGGAGAAGATCACAGCGTTTAGCCACTTGCTCGTTGCCTGATGATTCTGTAGAAAAAGTTTCCTCTCCCTCTACAGTTACTGATGGAAAAGTGTTCTCCATCAGTGCTCAAAATCAACAGCCATCAAAATTGGAGGGTAATGTATCTTAATCTAATAAAGAACAGCCCAACAGAAATTAAATCGTAAAGATTAGACGTTTTTCATCTAATGGGATGTTTTGACTAATTGTAGCTATAGCTCTATGCTGTTCATATGTTACGTAACACCACAACCCAGTCTGTTATTTATTGGGCCTATGTATCTTTTTTTTAATGTTACATTTTTTCTTTTATGTAGTACCTGATGTTGCTCATATGTCACTTGAGAAGCGTGGACCATGTCTCCCTCTTGACTTAAGCCGTAGTTCCGAAGTTACAACACCATTATCCACAGAATCCACTTTCCGTAATGAATATCCCAATAAAGAAAAGGAAGATATTCAGATGATTACATATCTTTCTTCCAAAGCAGTAACTGATGGAAGAGTAGCTACAACAGCGTCAGGTAAAGAGATTCAGTTTACAAGCAGTTAGGTTTGTAGTTGTAGGGTTAAAACGTGTATATTCAATCACACAGAGAGAAGGGATAAACTTTTTTTTTTCCTACAAGCTTCCAAACTTGTCTCTCTTTGTGGGATCCATCTGGATTCTCTGTCTCCTACCAGCTTTAACCTGCATTGGCACTTTCTCTAATGTACTTTAAGGTAGATCTGACTTAATCCTACAGACAGTGGCATATACAAAGTAGTATTTCTTCCTAAAGACTTTTTTAACCTTAAAACCTGTAAGTTATTTTATATAGATGTTTACTAACATACTAATATATGTGATGAACTCATTTATCTTGTGACTTCAGCTTTAAAACTAGCTAGAATTTTCAGAGTCAGTCAGCATTCCTTTGCAAACCTTTGCTCTGGTTTGCAGTGGAAATTTTGTTATTTGCCTTTTAGGAAATACAACTTGAAAATATTTCTGAAAATTCCTCTGTAATTTGTATAGATTACGGAAGGGTTCACCTTCACAGAGTTTGTATAGAGCCCTGTACTGGAACTCGGCACTGCATCTCGCTTTGACAGTTTACTGGGTCACTTGGATGTAAGCAGTTAGAGGCTCAGGGGGAAGGGTTTATGTACTAGTGTCTGGACCCTAAAAGTGTGTACTTGCCATTGGGGTGTGTGAAGTGTCCATGTACCTTCCCCCCCGCCCCCCCTTCTGAAATAAGCTTTTTATATAGGTGTCAATCAAACTGGGTTTTAATTGACTTCCAAGACATAATTCTTTCATTAGCCTTTTTTTTGAACGAGAAAGCTGTTCGGTAAATTAGGAGGAAAATCAAGTTACTGTACAATGCTGGGGAAGTTTTTGATGAGTGTGATTCAAAATAAGGGAGGGGAGCATGACCTTAAAGTATGTAACTTGATGCTATCCTGAAAAGATAACTTAGTCTTGTTTAGGAGAAAAACTGTAGCAACTCTGTGTTAAGTGAATATATAGCTGCAGTATTTGATAGGTCACTAAGTATTTTTATTTAAAATATATGGCCCCTTCTTGAGTATCTGCCAATGCATGTTCCCACTGACTCTAAAGTTGCAGCATAGTTGCTTAACTTGATGCAGAAAAGGCTGGAGAGGACTTTTGGTCAATATTCTGTAGATTAAATTATGATTGTAAATACCCTTTCTCCCAAAAAACTGTTGGTCTCTTCAACTAATTTGTGAAATTAAGGATGACAGGGATTTCTAAAGAGCTGTTTAAGGTTTTAAAAAGTTACTTGATTTGTTGAGTAAAACTGCAACAGGCTTGGTTTGCCTTTGATATTACGTTAATAGTTGAATCATTCCTGAGAAAATTTATTTTGCAAAAGCCCTTTTATCTCATGTCTTTTGCCACTAAGAAAAGTGGTTTGAGGGTCTTTGTATTTGCCCACTTGGAGAACAAGATCATGAAAGAAACACAGCTTCCAGCTACCATCTGTTGCTGCTTTTATTAGAACTCCTTTCAGTTACTGCAAATTTAACTGACTCTAGCTTTTCTGAGTATGTTGTCTTGATAAGTGAAGGCATAGGTGCTTACTGCCTGCTTCCCTCACAGGACTGCCTAGGGATTCAAATCGTCTGATTCGAAACCCTCCTCCTTTTCTGTGTCAATGTATATTATTGTACCAATTTACTGATGAGCTCGACTTTATTTGTGGCCACAGTTGAATCTAACCAAAGAAATAACCTGCTTTGTAGCCCCGTTTAGTTACGACTGAAAAACATTTGACACGTCAAAACACTTTGTGTCAGGGAAAGCCATGCCCTGACATTAAACTATCCGTTGTTGCTACTTGAGTCTAGAATGAGCAAGTAGAACCTTTGCTAAAGGTGCTTAACTAAAGGCGCTTGAGCACGTGCGATTGCCCAGAATTCTGCCATAGCTCAATACAGTGAGTAGAATCAGTGCTTGTTATCGTTTCTTTTATCTAATGAACCTCTTAAATGGTGGCATTTGTAGTATTTGGGCAAACTAATATACAAAGGAGGGATTTCCAAAGCTTTCCTTCCTCAACTCTGATGATATTTGAAAGCCCTGTGAATAATGATGGCTGTTTACTTGCATATGGAGAAACATCTGGCTGCCCAAATGTAATTAATATATTGTGGGGTTGTGCTGCTCTTCTGTGCCAGAATTTGAGAACTCTGGTGTGAAATCCGGGCTCCTCTGTAATTATCTACTTTTTTTTTTTTTTTAATTTGAAAGAACTATTTTAAATTCACTTCAACTTCCGATATTTTAGATTTCTTTAGATTCCGTTGAAGCAACCTGGACAAATCTTTGTCTCTAATCTTCTAGATTTTGCCAGTACTGTGGAATTTGCTAAGTGTGCTTGAGTCAGAGTAGCTGTGTTCTTACTCCCGGAAAATTTGATAGATAACAATAGATAATTTTAGAAATTATGGAGGTAAGGGAAATGTTTAGCCTTAAGTAGCTTATCGTGATCACTGACTGTTCTGAAGGTAGCTGCAGAAGAGTACTATTTAGACTACTATGTAGACACAGGGATGTAATTTGTGATTTTGAAAGTATAGACTCCTGATGTAGGGTATCTGTTGAGCCAATCGAAAAAATAATTTTAGACTGTCAAAAATAATGCTTTTTAATGACTTCTTACTGAAAAGCTACTAGCTTGGTGCCTTTCAAAGGAAAGGGATGAGAAAACGGATAATTTTCTGTACTGAAATGCAGAAACGTATATGGCAATTTATAGCATTAGCACAATTTCCTTCACAAAGTCGCTGTTCAAAATGAAAAACTTGTCAT